TCAACTTGGGGGTGTCCCTTATAAACAACCTAGCATTGAGCTGACCTAGCATTGAGCTGGAGGAGTACACTTTTTTTTAATCCAACACAAAACAATCCCTGACTTCCTTTTTTCCTTCTTTCCGTCTTCCCTTAAGAAAAGGGTCTTACTATGTAGTCCAGGCTGGCCTTGAGCTCACTATAGCCCAGGCTAACCTGGAATTCACAGCAGTCCTCCGCCTCAGCCTCTCTAGCTTCTGGCTGAGGCACTTAAAACACTCATACCCTGTACAATATTGCCAGGGCTGGATTCACATTTACCATGGTGCTATTTGCTTTCTACATGTCTTCCTTTATGTATTTGTCTGTTACTTAGTACATCGCTTTGATGCTTCCATTGATCTGGCAATTTTCACTATCTTTTCTTTTTTACTATCCTGAAACAGGCTCTCACTATGCAGTTCAGGCTGGCCTGGAACTTAATGATCCTCTTGCCTCAGCTTCCTGAGGGCTGAGATTACAGGCATGCACCACCACATTCAACTTCATCTTTTATTTTCTTAATAGTTGTTCTAGTGATTACAGTGAGCATCTTAATTTAACACAAACACTTCAGATCTTTTTTTTAAGACAAGATCTGGCTATGAACCTTAGGGTTATCTTCCACTTGCTACCCTCTTGCCTCAGTCTCCTGAGTGCTGATATTAGAGAAAAAAAGCTCACTTCCGATTGTTTTTTGTTTTTTTGTCTTTTTTTTTTTTTTTGCGGAGCCAGGGATTGAACTCAGGCCCTTGCACTTAACAGAGAAGCGCTTATTCTACTGAGCCATCTCCCAGCCCCACTCACTTCAGATTAATGCTAATTTTTTTAAATATTTATTATTATTATTATTATTATTATTATTTTATTTATTTGTGTGTGTGTGGCCAGCTCAGCCCACCAGGGGGCGGGGCTGTCTGGCATGTGGTGCTGGGGGATTGAACCGCGGTCCCTGTGTTTTGCTTAGCTTAGCTTGTTCTAAGTAGGTGCTTTAGACCACTGAGCCATCTCACCAGCCCAGATTAATGCTAATTTGATTCTAATGAAACAGAAACTGCTACACTGTGCTTTGTTCTGCTCTCCTCTTCTGTACCAGCCCTATCGTGATCTAGCATACTGTGAGCCCCACTGGGCAGCTTTCAGAGGGCTGAGGTAACAATCTCTCCTGTTCACCTACACCCCCACCCGGTCCAGGTCTTCCCCCACCATGTGGACTTCAGCCACGGGTGTGTCTCCCATCAGCCTGAAGAACTGGTCAGGCTACTGCCAGCAGCCTCTCTCCCCATCCACTAGTCTGACCCTGCTGTGCCGTGTCTTCACTTTAGCAGGGCCATTTGCTGGACAGCAAGCCTGAGTCCACACTATTCTCCCTCCTGTGCCTCGAATGCACTCAACCCCTTCTGCTTCCCACTGTCCCAGTGAGTGGTCAGTTGTTCATCATACAAACAGCCCGGGGTGATGGCCTCTGCTCCTGTTGCTGTCAGAGTTCTTAACCGTTCTTTGACTCCCACATTTTCACTCTGCTGTAATTAAGTTTCTGCGCCCTTTCATTTATGCCATGGGGTGTTTGTGAGCTTTTTGGTAAGGTATCTTTGGCCATTATTTCAGATATGGCCCAATTATTTCAAATTTGTACATTCTACACCCTCAGAGAAGCTGCTGTTCCTCAGCCTGCAGCAGCTGCAGCCCTGCAGGAGCACCTTTCCACATGGTAGGGAGACAGTGTGAGCCTAGTCCCCGGCTGAGCGCCAGTCTCCCCGCTCTCAGAGACTGGCAATTTTTAAACACATACACTTGGGAGTGTTGTGTGCCTCTGGGCAATTTTTGGAATGTTGAAGTGTTTTTTTGCTATTTTGGTTTTGCTTTATTATTACCAGGTGGGAGGGTACAGAGACAGGGTCTCACCACGCAATTCAGGCTGTCCTTGAACTCTCAAATGGGCGATGATCAACCTTCCAAGTACTGGGATTACGGGTATGTATCAATTTGCCAGTTTGTTTTTGTTTTTTCTTTTTTGTAACAATGGCGACTGAGTCCAGGGCCTTCACACTGAGTTGTATCCCCAGTCATTTTTAAGCCACTATGCTTGACTTACTGCATTTTGGGAACCAACCTACCATCTCCTTGATCTTAACCAGAAGTTCCTTCCAATTTCTGAAGCACAAACTGTAAGAGACTAAGTCAGAAATATCACCAAATTACAGAGAGGAGGGTCCTATCACTTCCTCCTCCCATGCATGTTCCAAGTCACCCACCACAGTGTGTGCATGTGGTAATGTACCTGTAGTCTATTTAATTTGGTGATGTCTAGTCATAGCCACACTCTTAAAGGAAAGGGAACTTCCTTCTAGAAACCACCAGAAAATACCTCTAGCCTTCCAAATGCCCAAGTTAAGTCATATGACAGGAATTAGAAAGCATCAAAGAAAAAGAGGTAGTTTTGAGAATGAGCCAAACAGAACAAATTGTAGAAACAATATAGTTATAACTCTTGGTATCAGAAGGGCCCAGGCTCTAAGGCGCCCTACAGGATGCTGAAGACCCTCATAAAAGCTGTGTTGTTTAAATTACCTCTAGGACTGAGAACCCCAACGTAAAGTGAGCGCTGTGTAATACCATCCTCAATGGACTAAGACTTCCGTCTGTGAGTGGGCACCGAACGCAGGCAGCCTCGCATTCGCCAGGCGAGCACCGTGTCCTGAGCTACACCCTACCCTTCCGGGTATTTCCGATTCATGCATTCAGAACTCAGACACACAGGGGCTAGCTATACCAGAAAGCAGGAAAAGGGAATTACTGCTGCCTCAACAAAACAAGCAAACTGCATGAACACAATGCTCAACACAAGCAGACAGAGTAAAGGCTACTTCATCCCCACAGAGGCAGGAAAGCCATCTGCACTGCTGGTGGCCAGGCCAGGGCTGCTGTGGAGGCTGTGCTACAGGGCTGCCATGTCCTTTTCTCACTCTGGGCTACAAGGATATGTTCAGTATGTGAAAACGTATCCAGCAGCACACATACTTTTCATTATGTTTGCTGTATTTTGGATAAGAAGTTAAAGAACAAAAATTAAACTCTCTTGGCATAACTTACAACTGACACACTGAGGCTGGAGCCAGCTTAGGTGGCCCATAGCTAGCACAGACCCAGAATGGCTCAGGGGCAGGCGCAATCCTATGATTCTGTCAGAACACCCCTCCCCCCACCCTCCCATGTAACTAACCCCAAAGCATGGGGTGAGGGGACAACACACTCTGCACACTGGGATAACTGGAAAGGGAGCTCTCACCAACACTGGCTGGGTGGCCTCTGATTCCCACTGCACATTCCACATCACCTCAATTTGCAAGGTGGAGATCACTGTTTAACCAGTGAAAAGCACAGGCCACAGTCACCTGCCTGGTTGACTCAATCCTAGCCCACCTGCTGGCCTCCAAGGCTGAGCTGTTCCACTGCCACACAGATGTCCTCAGTGTCACCAGTGCTCTGGAGGACCATGTCCAAGTGCCTGGGCTGTTCCCTGCCCCTCAGTTCCTGGCATCCTTTATAAGTCCTAAGAAAACCATCCCAATTAGCTTTAGTAAATAACCTCCCATCTTCTGAGTATTCTCATTTCAGGAGCAGATGGTCCAGTGGAGAAAGTGACCAAGAGGCCCTGAGCCCTGGGGCAGCCATGGGCTTCAAGTCCCAGCTGTGAACTACATCAACACTGAGCCCGGAATCTCCCAGGCCTACCACACAGAACCACTCAGTGATTGCAGTATAAAACACAAGCCAGAATCTTGCACTGTGGGGTACACAGGTGGCACCAGGACAGCCTCCATGGATGTGGGCACCTGGCTGAGACCTCACCTAAGGGGCCCAGACCCTCGGCCCTGCTGAGGGAGGAACAAGCCCTGTACCTATGGGTAAGAATAGGCCTGCATCCAAATGGGGGCACAGGGAAGCAAGCTAAAGAGGTAAAGCTCTGGGCAGCAGGACCTGAGCAGCCTGCTCTGACCAGGGGCTAGCAGAGGAGGTGCAAGTCCAGTGTCCAGAAACACCAAGTCATACATCAGGTTCACCACCCCTGCTCCTGGCTCCAAAATCAACTTAGCACAGAGATCAGCACTCAGGGGCCCTTTCCAGGGCTGGTGGATGCTGGCAGAAAAGGCAAGGGGCCATGGCTTCCATCCTGGATAGTGGGGGTGGGGGGGTCTAGTGCACAGGAGAAGAAAATTCTATGCCTTAGGGGGCTGCTGGTATGACATTCTGGAGAGATCCCAACAACATGTAAAAGAAGAGCCTGGGCCAGGTCTGTATTTCTCTAAGGGGAGAAAGAATATTTCTGAACAAAGAAATGGGGTGAGGACTGAGCACCTCCCCATCTGTTCAGTACTGGGGACTAACCAGGTCTGCACACTGAGCTACATCTGAGCACTTGACTTCTTCCACTTCTCATTTCTGAGAAAGGATCTCAGTGAATTACTAACATGTCCAGGCTGGGCTCCAACCTCCCATCCTCCTGCTTCAGCCTCCCAGGGTGCTGGGGCGATAGGTGTGCACCTGGCTGAGCCCCACAACAGCCGATTACAGGCAGTCACCCTGGGCTGAGGAGAAAAAACAGAGCAGGCTGCAGGAGCCCTGCCCACGGAGACGGTGAAAGTCAACAAACAAGAGATACCCCAGGCAGTGTGCAGCATCCCCCGACAGCCCACACTCAGATCTGAAAGGCAGGAAGGCACAACTCAGCGAGAGCCTCGCCTTTTCCTATAAACCAAGATCACTGAGCTCACAGGTGGCAGGCCATTTGTTTAGCTGAGCCCTGCTAAGGGGCCCAACACACAGATCACACCCGAGCCACTCTCATTTGGTGCCAGGAGCCCAGGAGGGAGCTCCCTTTGCCGGGACAGCAACCTGCCAGCAGGGCGACACCAAGACCAGGACCCATGGACACAGCACAACAACCCACACAGCTGGCCTACCCGCTGCCACCCTGCTCACCTGTGGGAGGTACGCATGTCCACTGGCCCGTCACCCAGCAGCCCTTCGCCTCTGCCCACAGCCACTGCCGGGGCCTCCGAGACCCCCAGAAGTCCTTGGGCTGGGCCTGCTCCCAGCTCTGGTGTCACTCTTGTGTCACCCTCAGGGCTGAGGTCTGAAGCTGACAGTCCTCTCTCCATTTTCACTTTCTTGCTCTCCACACCGTCCTCTGTCAGGTCAGGCTCAAGGGCTCGCTTCTGGCTTCGGGTTCGGCATGCTTCTTCCGTCATTCTGGACTTGAGGGGAGGAGAAGACAGCATTGGAACCAGACACAGCCAACTACTACCATCTAGAAACTTTTCTGGGTGTGGCTTTGAGTGTGGTGACAGCAGAGTGGGTACAACAAACATAGGTCCCAAGAGGCATTCATGGGACATTTCTTCACAGCCCTGGGGACACTGGGGAGGAGAGATGCCTGTTTCTGAGGTACTCCAAGCATCTAGACAGGGCTGGACAGGAGCAATAGCAGGGCCACTCATCAGAAAGAAAGGAGCCCGGTGCACTCAGATGAGAGCAAGAACGGGGGAAACTGTCCTCCCGCTGAGCTGCCAGCTCTGAGTCCACACAGGACTGTTGTGTAGGATTCTGGAAGGGGCAACCTTGTCAACCTAGGAGTCACTGTGGTGCCTCAGTTGACCCCTGCTTCTGCTAGGGAAGAGAAGTCCCCTCACTCTCCACTCACCTCCAGGAGGTGGGGAGTAGGGTCACATTTAACCCTTTGGGTACTGGCAAGGTGCACTGGGAGGAGAGGTTGGGGCCTGACCCATTACCGAGCCACCACCCCGTACCTGCAGCACACACATATCTTGATTTAAAGAAGAAAGAAAAGAAGGACAAAACAGCTGAGTCAGTTTTTGATCCCATGACATCACTGGGCTCCACATGACCCTTCCCAGGATTCAGTCTGAGAGACAAAGCACTTTCCAGAAAACCAGTCTGAACCGGTTCCAGACAACAAGCTCAAGTGCTGTTAACCCTCACGGAGACGGAGACAGAGGGAGAGACAGGAGACAGGAGGACAGCAGAGCGAGGACAGCAAGACGGGGGGCAGCTGGCATTCCACAACAGGGCCCTACACAGGCAATCTTAAAGGGGCCGCCCAGGCCTCGATGTCCCAACAGGCCAGGGAAATGAGGTTTGGGAGAGTCAAAGTCTTAAAAAAGTCCACCCTGTTCACCAAAGGACAAGAAAAGAAATGAGCTCCTGAAGTCTGACAACATTTTCAGTCAGGACTAATAATACACGTCTGTAATCCCAGCACTCAAGAAGCTGAGGCAGGAAGATTGCTATGAGTTCAAGGCTAGGCTGGGGTACATAGTGAGTTCAAGGCCAGCCTGGACTACGTAGTGAGTCTCTGTCTAAAAAAAAAAAAAAAAAAAAAACAAACCAGAAAATTCCCAGTGTCACCTTTCAGATAGTCCACACCCACCTCAAAGGAGCCCCTCAAGGCCCAGTTCACCCCTGTGGCATGCACTATGTGGAGGCCCTGACTATATACCTTGCTGCTGCCCAGGTAACTCCATTTCGATACTGGTGAACACTCTGGGAAGCCCGTCCCAGGCAGAGCCAGTCCCCTGGCCTGCAAGGCCACAAAAGGGTCCTATCACCATCACCAGCTATGGGACTTGCCTGCAACCAGCTTCCCAAACAAGCACTAATGTAGGCATAGGCACATGCTCCAATGGGAGCCAGAGCGAGAGTTGCCACCTGCTCCCTCCTGGGCTAAGCCTGTTGAGAAGACCAAACAGAGCAAGTCTCCTACCATATGTGACAGCTCGGAGGCAGGAGAGGCCCTATGCTCTGCAGGGTGGGCAGTGCTCAACCTCTCTCAGCAGCACCTAGTGCCATAGTGTGACCTGACAGAGTAAGCTGAGGAGTAGGGTCCACAATCCTGGAAGTGCTCTCAGACTTGGGGTCCAGCCTGCAGCTACCACCCATACACGACCCCATCAGCCCCAGTGACTTCCCACTGGCCCACCCTGGAGCTTCCCCTGCCTCTCACTCTAGGTCTATCCCTTTTCTACATCCCTGACCACAAATCCTGTCTGGCCGGCTCACTGACAACCGCCCTGTCTCTGGAGAGACTGCAGCCCCAGCAATGCCGTAGGGTGTCAGTTGCTCCTCCCCTCCTCTGGGCACTGCCCTGACCAGGGCTGCTCGGGAAAGAGTTCCAGCGGCAGCTGTGGGTAGCAGGTACACACAGTCAGGCCTGGGCCACAGCTCCCAGCTCCAGTAGCAGGGTAAAGCCCCCAGCAGAGGGCCCAGGAGCCCAAGGCTTGTGCGCAGTGTGTGGTACCAGGGTGATGCATCATAAAGCTAGGGCTGGAGCTCAGTCAGCCAGCCTGGGTGCCCTCCCTCCACTTCATGCAGCTAGAGGGCGTGGGCCCACCCAGAGGTCTGGGTGGGCCCTGACCTGCCCACCTGACCTCCCCTCTGTGGCCTAGGGCTTCCTCCACAGCCAGGCCCCTAATTCAGGGCCTGCTAGCAGCCAATCCCAGGCTGACACAGGGTGTTCGCACTAGGGAAGGGGGGGCTGCTAAGGAACAAACACTCCTCCTTCAAGGTGAGCAGGTCCAGGTCCCAGCAACCCAGAGCTGGAAGCCACTGCACTGCAGGCAGAGACCTGGCAACAGCCACAAAGTCATCAGAAACCTGCCTTGAGCAGTGATGAATGACTCTGCAAGGAATAGCAGGCATGCATGAGAGCACCCTAAAATAGTAGGGACCAGTCAACCTACTAGCACTTTAGGGTCCCCTCCAAAACTTCCAGCAACAGAGCTGTCTCAGGGTGAAACAGCCCAGCTAGGAAAGCTGGGCCCCACAGGCTATTCAGCAGAGGGCGCAAACTCCCGCAGTGGTGCCCATTCCAGTGCAAGCCACACTGGCAGCCACAGCTGGGACATGGGCAGCCTCAGAGCCTTTCACACCAGGGCCACCAAAGGCTCCCAGAGCACCACCATAGGGACCACTGAGACCTGGGGGTACAGTAATGCAGGGCTGAGGTGGTAGAGTCTTCAGTAGCCCCCACCCCAATGCTGGCAGGATTTTATAAACACCACTGTCCAACTGGCCTAAGATCCTCAGTCCATAAACAATGAAAAAGATCAGACAACGCTGGAGCAAGGCCAAGGTTTTTCAAAGTGGACTTGAGACCACAACCCCTCAGCCAAGTCAAGCACATCAGGTCAGTAAAACATCCCTTGGTAATCAAAAGAAAAAGCTAGGTGTGGTGGTACATGCCTGTAATCCCAGCACTTACTTGGAAGGCTGAGGCAGGACAATCACCTCGAGTTCCAGTTCAAGTCCAGCCTAAGCTATGGAGTGACTTCAAGGCCAGCCTAATAATTAAAATTGTAATAATGAGATGCAAACTACAGGTCAACCCCTGAGGTTGTCCTATTAACAACACCCATTCTGTGAAATGCCACTATACACCCTAACACCACAGGGCCAGGAGCACTCATTTCAAATGGCTGGAACCAGAATAATTCCAAGTTTGGAGATTTTCGGAGAGTAGATCAGCATCTCCGAAGATGTCACTGAGCACCTCCATTCAGAAAACCTGCAATCTGAAAGGCTCCAAAGCCCCAAACTCCTTCATGGGCTTAGCACTCAAACATTTCTGGATTTTGGAACATTTATGATCAGGGATGCTTGACTTTTACTAATGCTGTTAGCAGCCTTCATGTTTCACACAGGAAGAAAGTGGGGCTGGGTGGGGTTAAGTCAGCAAGTGGCAGGAGTGACAGCCAAGTCCTGAAGGTGAGACCTGCCCACCTGGGGGTGGGCTCCGTGGTACAGCCCAGGGCTGGTTCAACCCCAGGAAAAAGACAGGAAGAGGGAGATGACTTGCACTTTTTCCTATACCCCCACCACAGGCCATTTGCTGGACCTCTACTCTACGAAGAGTCGGTCCTTGGGCCAGGGCACAGTGATGAGAGACAGAGTAATGACCTGTTGCTTGGGAACACACAGGTTCAGCAGCACAGCCCAGCATGGCAGAACGGGACCCCCTGGCCGGCTACTGTGGAGGGAAGCAGGCCAAGAGCAGCAGCACGTGGGGCCTCCTAGTGCCATGTGTACACGGGGCACAGTGGAGGCAGGGAAGGCCCTGGGCACAGAGGGCAGGACCTCAGCCACCTGAAGACAGGGCAAGGTACAGGAGTGTGGTATGCCTGGTATGGGGACTGTGTACCCAGACCCAGCAAGGGCCAGGGCACTGAGGTCACATATTCAAGGACACCACCCACTGGGTACAAGAGAGCAGACTGCCGTTTGGCAGGGCAGACTTCTGAATGGGTAGGTGTAAACTTGGGGAAAGATGGGCGAGCTTATATAGCTGGACAAAGGAGCAGACCCTACACCTAGAGGCAGCCACCATGGGGGGTGGGGGAGGCAAGAGCACCTTTTCCTCTGGGAAGGGAGAGAGAGGAAGGGACCCACACAGAGCAGCCAGTGCTGTGCTGGGTCTGGTGCTAAGAGGGTCTGGGTTCCAGACACAGGGCAGCACACCACCTCTACTTGGACACATGGTGCAGTTGGGTGTCTTTGCACCCTGCACTCCCTGGTCTGGGGCGGTGACACCTCTCTCCATGGCAGCCCTGTCTACATTCCATAAACCCGGTCCACGCTCCTCCAGGAATGCTCACTTCAAGTCCAACCCACACGTCCCGATGTGGGGAAGCCATCGGGGAACAGGGAGGTCGTGAGCCCCTCAACATCTTCCCAAGAGGCAGACCCCAGGCCTACTGCACCACTTCCTCACTCTCATCTCAGTGACAGAGTAGGGGACCTCCTCCCGCATGTACTCTCCACCATCTAACACACAGGGGCACCATCACCCACAGTTTTTAAAATGTTAAGTGTCTAAATGAGGAGAACACTGAGAGAAATTTCCCTCAAATCAAAACTGAAAAAAACTAGACTAAAATCAGCAGGAGTCATCTCTGACGGGCAAATTGAGACTCACTTTCTGTCGTGGACATTTCTGCCCTGTCTGAATCCCCTAACGGTGACTTCATGTCAGTCTTCTATCAAGAAATCCAAGATTAAAGAGGGGAAAGATTAGGGGAACAGCTCAGTGGCAGAGCTCTTACCTAGCACTGCGAGGCCCTGGATGCTGCTCCTATGGGGTGCAGCACAGAATAGGACAGAGAGCGACAGATGCAAAAGGCAGCAGGTGGTAGTATGCACCTGGGGGCCAAGGCAGGAAGACTCCAAATTGAAGAGCAGCCAG